GCATTTATGCAAGCTCTAGGGATGTTGGTCTTTTGAAGCAGTTCTCACTTGCCTGGTCTCAGCCACATGCTGTTCAATTCTGTGACATCTAGGACAGAACTACCCTGGTCTTGCCAGAACCCAGATTCTTCTCCAGTACATTTTGTGTTTCTTCTCATCTCACTCTGTCTGCAGACAGACAGAATTCACTGTGTTGCTTTGCATTCAGACTTATTTGCATAAGTTGACTAAAATGTTCTGTTTCTCTGAGAATACTGAGGTTTCTCTTCACTTTGCATGTGAGCACTGAAAATATATGTAGTCCTTTGCTGGCACCAGGTGTCCTTGTTTGCACCCTTACTTGCTTGAATAAGGGGTTTGTGTGCCAGGGCTTAGAAAGGGGTGATTTGCAGGCTAGTAAGGGACAACCTTGTGATTAGAAATTCCACGATCTGACAGGATGCACATTTGACCTGCTCATGTAAAATAGATTATTATTCTATTATGTAAACATTTCAAGATACAGGTTTGATAAGGGTCAATGACAGAAATAGGTAGTGCTTTCCGATCTGTAGAAGTACTTGCTAACATACTGCAGCATTTGGTTTATAACCTTACAATAGTGGCTTTGATTAATAATGCTTTATCAGTTATAAACATAGACTTACTGAGTAAATCCTACTTACTCTGCTGAATGGCTCTCCGTGCCTACATAAAACTATTTCAGTAATTAGAAAGCTACTATATTATTTCCCTATATTGTAGACTTTGAGTTGTTAGTTGTCAGCTTTTCTGAATTCCTGTCTAGGTTTTCTCTTTGCCCTATCCTTGACACGAAAGGGAAATGGTTTCAGTGATTGCATTTTGTGATGAGAAAGGGCAGGTGTGTTAAGACAGAAAAGAGGACGGGGTGAAGGGAAGACTGCATTTCTCCTTTTGATGTGCCTCTGGACCTGTACTGTCCTATTCCCTACCGGGATCAGAGAAATGAGACTGGAGAGGTGATACCCCTGCTGAAAAGGACCAAACTCCCTCCCTGAAGGATAGCTGAGTTACCACGATTGCTTTGTGGGTTTGCATTTCAAGAGAAGAGTAGAAGAGTGTGTCTGAAGCATAAGGCATCTTGTGGAGAGCTCACCTCTATCTTTTTCTAGAAGGTGTAAGTGTGTAACTCCTGGGGTTTCTCCTCCCCTTTCTATATAAAACACAAAGTGGTAGGGATAAGTTGTTTTACCCACTACTGAAATGCAGCCATCAGTGCCGAATAACATGAGAACAGTTTGAAAGGAAGCATGGAACACTACATTCAACTGAAACTAATTACCTGATTAGGTTTTGGCCTGGCTTAGTGGGTTGACATCCAATGGTCTTGGCGACAATACCTGTGAGAAAAGCCAAGTCTAGTCTTGCTTCATTTAAAGACTTTGGACAAAACATCTGGACTTGTGTGCTGAATGCTAAGCAGTGTGAAAATAGGCCACTGATTTAAAGTACCCGTGGCTACAGTGGGTGTCAGTGGGCAGCTGGCATGGTTGCAAATGAATGAGCTTATTTGGGTTTTAGAAATACTGATTTCCATTTGAAGGTAGTTCTGTTTTAAGCACACATTCTGGTGAAATTTAACTCTCCATCAGAACATCCTCTGTTCACAGTTACAGGATTAGCACTTTCCTTCAGCACTTCAAACTTCTCCCATTAGAAACACAGTCAAAGTCTGACACTAAGATCTTGTAAACTTAGAAAAATCACCTTAAAGGTTGCTATCTCCCCTAGTCTGTTAGAGTAGTTCCTTCTCTTTATCTCCACGGGTATTAAATACTTTAGGTCTGCTTTGTTAGGTAGGAAGTAGTAGTTACTGCTGATGTCTTCCTCTTTTGTGCCTTTGCCTTAAACAATTTTTTGATATGTTGGTGTCTTTTTTTTTTTTTTTTTTTAAATGCCAGTATTTTCTTCTTAGGGGTACCTGTGCAACATCTCAAGTGTCTGTAGTGGTAGACATATCTATATTTACCAGTGTGACAGTATTTTTTTCTCTTGGCATCATTATAAAGGAAAAAAAAATATCAATACTTGGAAAGATTTGAAGCTTTACTGGGAAGAGAGTGATGAGTCTTTAATCTTTACACTATTATAAAAATATAGTCCTTTAAGAGCAAAGGTGAGCAGAACTTTTAGAAAGACTTGAAGTCTTGCTTCTGAACAGGAAACTTCTGGGCTGCACTCACTGTTGGCACCCTAGAGAACCTCTGTTCTCCCTTTCCAGGGAGCATGACGTGAAATGAACTGTCAAATGAGTTGTGGCAGTTCACTAGTGAACACTGACCTTATGAGGAAATTTAGCACGTCTATTCTGATATCCTAGAAGTGCAGTGAGACACATGATTAAAATGAATTGTACACGTGGTTGATGAAAATCCAAGAGCTGGTAAGAGATGCTCCATAGAACAAGAAATCCTAATAGACAACCATAGGGAAAACTATTTTTTGCCAACTGGCTGAATATTTTAACTTAGCAACTGGTTTATGCTCTACCCTGCTCCTTAACATGTAAAATAAATATTGAATTCTCTCCTGTTTACAAACCTTCTTAAACCATTTGCCTGAGAGGCATTGCAGTAATGAAGTCCTCAAAGTTGTGTTTAAGCATTTCCTCTTACTGCTGTACTGCAAGAATGAATCCATCAAGTTTTCGGCCTCCCACAGAGTCAACAAACGCAAGACTGTAAGTGCCATAAAAGCCCCAAGAAACTTGAGAAACAATTTAAAATAATAAAACCGCACTTTTGGACACCTCTCTTTACTTCTGTGTGGCACGAGGCTAGGCAGGGAGTTGAGGCTAGATGGACAGATGGGAGTTCACCTGGTGTAGACTAGTATTCCTTTCCTTTCATCCCCGATGTCCCCAAATCAGCTGTCACAGTATTGGCAGGAGTATTCTGAGCCTTTGCTCCTTAGGAGTTTGCCCAGCTGTTTGGCTTAGGATTTCACAGAGAAGGAGGAAACCTTTCTGTCTGAAGCTACTGTAAAATCACTGCTTCAGCAATCAAAGCAGCAGGGTCCTTATGGGGGGGGGGAAAAGGTCATTGAAGAGATTGGTGGGGTGGGCAGGAGTGATGTGACTTCTCACAGGGCCTGGCCTCTCCATGGTAAATAATCACCCTGTAGCACAAGTATTCTCCTAGGAAAAGCGGTGGTGTTAAAAAGGCGGTAAGATCTCTGCTTCTTTTAAAAGCATGGGCAAAGTTCCACTTCATTGCAGTTCTGTGGTTTGAAAGTGCATCTCCTAACAGCTGCTTGTCTTGCCCTTGCAGGATGACTTGGAAATTTGTCTTCTCCGTTTTTCTGACGGCCGCGCTGGTTCGAGTAACAGACAGCAGGAAAAACCGTCCTGCAGGCGCCATTCCCTCCCCGTATAAAGACAGCAGCAGCAACCACTCGGAGCGGAGGCAGCAGCTGAATAAGGAGGTGCTGGCCTCCAGCCAGGAGGCCCTAGTGGTCACCGAGAGGAAGTATCTCAAGAGCGACTGGTGCAAGACGCAGCCCCTGCGGCAGACTGTCAGCGAGGAGGGCTGTGTCAGCCGCACCATCATCAACCGCTTTTGCTATGGGCAGTGCAACTCCTTCTACATACCGCGGCACGTGAAGAAGGAGGAGGAGTCCTTCCAGTCCTGTGCTTTTTGCAAGCCACACAAGGTCACCTCTTCGACCGTGCAGTTGGAGTGCCCTGAGCTGGACCCACCTTTCCGACTCAAGAAAATTCAGAAGGTTAAGCAGTGCCGGTGCATGTCTGTGAATCTGAACAACTCAGGCAAACTGTGAGAGCAGGCCTGGAGCTACTGTTTGGTGTTGCTCCCATCAGATTTACTGCTGCCTCTCCTTTCCCACTGAGCAGACTGTCCGTTTTGTTGGGTTATTTCTTCTTTTCCTTTTTTTTGTGTTCTGTTTTCTTTCAGGAGGTGTCTCTCCAGCAAGGAAAGGCTCCTTGTCACTTGCCTACTGGAATAATGCTTTTTAATGGGCTGTGTTAGGCACTTCACCGTAAAGTTTCATTGTATTTCCGATATCATCTGGCAGTTGAATCTTCTGGAGTAGAGCAGGCTCCCAGAAGTTGGGATTGATCATCTAAATGACCAGTTGGCTTAATCCAGCATTAAATGTTTCCACTGTGTGGAGTAAAGCCCTCTGCCCTACACTCCAGTCCCCTCTACAAGATGAGAACACCTTCCCTGTGCTTTGGTCCAGAGCCTGCCGATCCCTCTTTTAAGTGCTGGGGTGGTGCCCGGGACTGGGAGATGCAGATGACGGAGAGCAACGAGGAGTAACTTGCAAAAAGCAAGTGAGACTCTCTGATGAGGCTCATCTCCTTAAGACAACTTTAATTGTGCAATGAGAAACGGTTCCTGGCTTGCTGTCTGGATGGCAGATAAGAAGCAAGGGGTAGAGGGTGAGACGCTGGGTTAGCCACCATGACCACAGAGCAGACTGAGAGTGGGTTTTGATTCTGTTGTGGTTAGAGTATATTGAACATGTGGTCTCTGGAGCAGTGTTTATTTTGTAACCTAAGTATAGTAAACAACTGTTTAAAGTATTATAGACCCAGACATGTATATTTTTCTTGTGGCAAGGTATGCCAGAGATTAAAGTATGTTGAGTAAGAGACTCAGTTGCTAGGTCAGCTGCATGGCTTAAAACGGACGTGGTTTAACTAGGCTTTCAGTAGGTACTTGTGTGTTAGATATGTTTCTGTTTCTTACTCCAAAGAGGACAACATCCACTTATGACCTTATATTTTTGCCTGCTCAGACCTGGGAAAGTGGGAGTGTATTGAGAGAGGAGCTGAGAACACTTAAGGGAACGATGTTTCCCTTAAGGTATTAGGGAACTGTGACACAAAGGACAAAATTTGGTCATTGCTGGACTGAATACAAAAGCCGCATCAGTATCATCAGGTTTTGGGTGTGGTGTCTCTCCCATGACTGGAAACCATGTTAATGTGTTATTGTTAAAGGACAAACCCATCAGTCATTGCTGCTGGAATGGTTCACAGCTGTAGGAACAAGGAGAGAGTAAGGTGTAATTGCTGCAGTGCTCATGGTCCACTCAGTTTTTGAGTCCTACATCATCAGTGTTGGTGAACACTTGGAGTTCATTTTAAATCATGCTCTGTTGCTGTTCAGCTGATGGAGTTTAGTGTGTTCTGTATATCCCGTTCGTTACAGTTCTGATCTGTATTAGTCCCAGCTGCATTAAAATCCTATGTCTCAAAACAAACCAGTCCCATCCCCCAAACCAAAGCCCGTGCGTGCTCGGCTGTCTGAAGCTTACAAATTAAAAATGACACGCTGACTCCCTGATGCATGTCTCACAGCTCAGCATCTGCATCTACTGAAACCAGCTTGCTGTGGGAGCCTTTTCCCAGCAGCCTCTTCACATGCAGCCACTTCAAGGGGTTAATGTGTTTAGCCAGCCAGGGGTTCAGTGCCACAGGTCTCTATTATGTGAGACAGGCTGCTCTAAGAGGCTTTCAGGACTGAGCTCCACGAGAGCTCACCAAGCGGTTTATGGGGATTGGCACGGGCAGTATGAGGTTGGTCAGGTCTCTTAGCCTTATTACGTGAACAGCTATGGCTTTTCTGCTGTGATCTTTCAGTGTGTCAGAAGTGCACAGGGAGACTCCTCGTGCAGGGATTGCATTGGAGGCTGTCACTGCTGTGCTGCCAGCATCGTGCCAGCCACTGAACGGGCACCACTCAGTCCGGGCTGGAGAGTGGTGGTTGGGTATGAGGAACATGGCAATAGCAATACTCTACTAAGACTCCTGAGATCTCAGTCTCCATTTGAAAGAAATGAACTGAAAATCAGGCATTTTGGACTCGAGACAGAAAAGCACCCTACTAACATCAGTTAATAAAAATGTGCAAGAATCTTTATCTTTAAGCTATGCCCTGCCCGGGTTTTCCACCAGTTTGCAATATGGATATGCTGCAGCTTAAAGCTCCTTTTTGGAGCTGTGTTTATGTAAAAACTGAGTTGAGCTTGTAATGGTTAAAACTGTATTTAATTCTCGTTTTATAAATGAAAACAAAAAAAAAAAAAAAAAAGAAGAAATGCTTTAAGTATAATGTAATTATTTTACAGGTCTATTATTAAATTATAGATTAAATAATAAAGCTACTCTAGGGTTATATAGTATCCAGGTGTGCAGGCTTTGCTTCAACACCTTGTGTCCAATTGCTCTCTAATCAATATATTCTCCAGTTTCCTTTTGATTCTGCCAGATACAGCTAAATGATGGCTTACCCTGACAGCTTGGGAAAATGGGTCTAATTCTTTCCCCTACCCTGCACCCCCCTCAAAAGTATCTGCAAGGCAAATGGGAATAATAAACTGCACTCATCCTAGATTCTGGAGTTGATTCTGCATGCACAAATTGTTTTTTTGATTAACTGACAAGAAAACAACCAAAGCTCCACCACTGGCTGAACTGCCGGCATCATTTGTGGGAAGAGAAGTAAGTATTACTGTGACCTAAGTGGTTTTGCTTAAAAGACAGCTAGATCTTTATGTAACAGGCACCAAACTACTCATAGGGGGAAAAAAGTATAGCTTAAGATATGTGTGAGCTTTAATGGTTTCTCTCAGCTCTTAAGTAAATACACTGTATGTCTCTTCAAAGATAGGGGGTAGTGCTTTGGGTTTTGCTTTCCTTTTTTTCTTTCCAACCCAGAGAAAACTGCTGCAAAATAATCTTGAAGGAAAACTTCAGTGAGGAAAGGAAGTTCTCACATGGGAATGAGCCTCTACATGACCAAAAGAGATGCTTGTCATGGGCCTTGAAAGAAGCAAGAGCACCTGGACTACAACTAGCAAGGGAGGGCTATGTTCTTTATGGCACTATAGCTGACACCTGCAGGAATCCTTTGCTCTTTTCCCTTCCCCATCTCTTGCCCCAGCATTTTGGGATTTTTTTTTTTTTTTCCTTTTGGTAGCTATTGTTTTTGAGAATTACCGTTTTCCTGTGTTTTAGCTACTGAATCATGGTAAGGGCCCTCTGCGCAGAACTCCCAAGGGCCTCTGTCAGCTGGCTCAAAAGGAGTGCAGGCTGCCATCTCCTCCATGCCTCTTTCTCATTTCCACCCCTCTCTTAGCTGCTCGGTCTCCTGCTGTGCAGGTGACTTCATTGCCCAGCACCCACCTGAACCTCTGCTGGGTGTGGTATAGCCTAGTCTCCAGCTCCAGCTCTCCCAGTCTCTTGCTGCCCAACTGCTGCACCACCCTACCAGAAGAATATGCTATAATCTAAAAAAAAGCTCCCCCTTGTGGAAGCAATCCAAGAGCAAGGCAAGGCCCTCGGGTGAATAAAGCTTTAGGTCAGATTGATCCAGTATCCCTTAAAATAAAGCGGTGTTGTGGACAGGGCAAGGAGTGGGACAGTAAATGTTAAGCTCTACTGTCACAGAACTGCATTGGTCAGGTCTCAATTTGGGGTGAGTGACAAACGAAGTTTCTAAGAGCTTAAATTTGAGCTGTGGCTCAGAATAAACAAGAAAAGAGTGCTGACTCAGTGGGGACCCTCTGTCTTCAGAAAGAAACCATCTTTTTGAGGCAATGGACTTACTTACCTGGATGCCTTTACAAGTAGGTTGGATTAATGTCAGATAGAGAGCAGGTACGGATGGGTCTAGTCATAAGCAAGAGAATGGTTTAGGATACCTATAATGTGAATCCTGTTTGATATATAGGTGGCAGACTTGAGTGGTGTGGGACATGGTTTCTGTCTCCTCCCTTTGCTGATCTGTTCACACTATTTTCAGAAAAACTCAGCTCCATCAGTTTTCACTTATTCTGTCCATAACAGTTTAAAATTGGTGTAACTTAAGTAAATGATACAATGGACTTGGCACAAACTTTGCTTTGCTTATTGACCTAGAGTATGCAACAAGATAATTGCAATGCAGAGACTTGTTATATCTTCTCTCAATTAAATTAACTGCTTCCAACTTCTTAAGGTGATCACTGGAAAACTGGGCAAAAAAAAGTCAGTCTGGGGAATATGTCACTTACTGTATTCCCAGTGTCACTGTTGGTTAATACTTAACTAACTTTTGGAAGTGCTTTGGGATGATGAAAAGTGCTACAAAAAAAAGCTAACCACTGCGGTGTCATGACACGTTACAAAGTACCATGCTTCTGAAAGGCTCTAATTTGCAAGCAAAACAACATGAATCTTCTTAGCTGCTCATAAAAAAAACTAGACTATTTTTCCCAGTAAGTCACATCTGCTACTCAGGTATGAAAGTCCTTATTTAGCTCCTGCATTTAAGTAAAAGTGAGTGATATGTGGTGTTGATCATCAACAAAGGCTCTGAATTTTGTCTGTGAGAACTCGTAGGACTACAGCCAACTCATAGTGTAGTATGCTTGATGTTACAGTAAGTGGGAGGAGAGAGGACCAGTGAGGTGTTTGACCTCTTCAAAACACACCCAGACAAAGAAATGAACATCAGTCCAGTTCTGTAAAAATCTGAGTGTGCCACTGAAAGAGCAGCAGTGAAACTTATGGTGGGAATCCACTCTGGGAGTGCTGTGGGTCAGCTTTGAGGCTGTGGATAGTGGGCTACTTTATTTTGTATGGAACTCTGAAAACAGGCTGGAGAGACCCTATATAAAAGATAGATGTGTTCAACCAAATAGGTTGGGCCTGAGTAAAATGAAAGGGGAAAACCAATGCAGCAGCTTTTATCTTCAGATCATAACATGCTAACACCAGCTGCAGTCAGCAGCTGTTCTTTGACACTGTTCTTTGAAGAAAGAGGTTT